AACAAAACCACTAAATACAGTATTAGCAAACAGAATCTAGTACTTGAATAAAAAATAGAGGACCTTGACCAAGTGGGATTTATCATAGGAATGTACAATGTTTTGACATTAGGATCTTATAATCCTGTTATAAATCAAAGGATAAAAGAAAAATATATAACATGATTAAAAACACATTGACAAACTCAAATTTTAATTACTTATGTTAAAAACACTGTATAAAAGAGAAAACAGATGTTTACTTTCTAAATATAATGGAATATACCATGATTCAACAAATAGTATATCACAGAGGAAAACATTGAGTTATTCCTACTAAGACACAGAAAAAAAGAAATGTGTCAATGCAATAGACGTGAGAAACCACACAGAATAGTAAAAATTAGGAGAAAAGAAAAGAGTTACCTCTAGTTTCAGATGATATAAGAAGACATCTCAAAATTCTTAGAGATTCAGTGATAAAACACAAATTAAGTCATGTAATAAAAAAATTAACCTTCAGAAATTGTAAAAAAATGTAACTACTATAAACCTCCTTTACGATAAAAACAAAAAGTTAAAGTACATGCTATTATTTTTAATAAAAAATGGAAAAAACTCTATGAGGATGTAGCAGGAAATGATGGTCAGGATACCAAGATCTGGAAGCAACACTTTATTAGTGCTACCATGGCCCAGAGGGATAATTCCCGAAGTCTGAGCCCTGAGTCCAGCAGGGCTTTTACTTTTATACAAAAGCAAGTTTTGGGTACATCAAGGCAAGGGAGTTCATGCAATTCTATTGGAGTGTGCATTCAACATTCCGTATATGGGTACAAGCTTGTCAACAGCCTAGTGACTTTTAGCTCATACAGGGATTGTTCTGTCCCAGCTGTTTTGTTTCCTGCTTCTGCTGCTGCTATGCAGTTGTTACAGGTACCTGTTAACTGCGCAAGCCCCTATGCTTAAATGTCAGTAAGTAGAGCTGCTGTGTGCCAATGTGTGAAATCACAGCCTGTCAGCTCTTAAACTGCTGAAGTTTCCATTCTATTCTACCACAAGGAAACATTTAAGTCATTCTGAAAGATACAAAAGTAGATTTAAACAAATTAAAAGATACTTATTGGTTTGTATTTTGTCCCATTTCATGATTTGCATTTGTTTTCCTTGCTAATAATACTGAACATGTTTTCATGTGCATTATTGTTCATTTATCTTATTTGTGAAGAATCTGGTTAAATTTTTTTTCAGTTTATTATTCAATTTTTGAGTTATTATTATTGAATTGTATGTAAATTTTATAGTAGATGAATTCTGTTTATGGAAACAAGACCTCTATCAGATATGTGTACTGCAAAGATTACATCCCCAATGTGTGACTTGTTTTTTCATATTCTCAGTGTTTTTCAAAGAAAAAATCTATTTGATTTTGATGTTCAATTTATTACTTTTATTATATGTATATTCCTTTAAAAATCCTTTATATATTCTGAAGTTGCAGAAAACTTCCTTCTGTTAGGTTTTCCTATATTTTTTATGGTTTTAGGTTTTACAATTAGGCCTGTGATCCATTTTGACTAAAATTTTGTGGTTAGTTTATTAACTTTTATCAGCACTCAGACAGTTGTTTTTTTTTATGCTGTCTAGACTTATTGTATTAATTATTGGGTGTGTAGGGTGTAGTGAGCTTATAGAGCTACAATAGAGGTGTGGCAAAGCTGGGTGATTTAGTACTAAGGTTCAAAAAGAGGAACACCATGCAAAAATAATTAGAAGACAATTGAAAAAAAAAACTACAGGGAAAATTAGAACTGCCACATATTAAAACACTAAAAAAACTTGTAAATTAAAAAAAAGGTGCTACTACTGCATCAAAAGGCAGGAAGTACAATGGAATATAACATCCAAAATATGATTGAACACATATAGAAATTAAGGGTTGTTTTAGTCAGCATTTTCACTGCTGTGACTTAAAGACCCAACCAGAACAATTTTCGGGCAGAAAAATTTTATTTGAGAGCTCAGAGTTTAAGAAGTCTTAGTCTATAGAAGAACAGCTTCATTCCTCAGGACTGGGGTGAGGCAGAACATCATGGTAGAAGGGTGTGGCAGAGGGAAGCAGCTCACATGGTGATCAGGAAGCAGAGAGAGGGTCTCCACTTGCCAGACACAAATATATACCCCTAACCACACTCCAATGCCCGCCTCCTCCAGCCACACCCTATCACTTCAGTTACCACTCAGCTAATCTGTATCAGGGACTTAATTAACTGATTGGATTAAGATTCTTACAACCCAATCATTTCTCCTCTGAACCTTCTTTCACTGTCTCACATGTGAGATTTTTGGGGTTACCTCACATCCAAAACATAACAAGTATAATATAAAGTAGCATCTAATATAGCTGGAAAGAGAAGGAATCTTTCATTTAGCAATGGTAACAATCTAAAATACCTATTCAGGAAAAGAATACATGAGATCTATATCTGCACTTAGCAAAAGAATGAACTCCAACACTAAATTTTAAAATTGAAGTATTTAAAGTTAAAAAACAAATGCAAGGGGGTATTCCTCTATAACCTGGATGTGTGGAGAGGTTTTCTTAATCTTGCACAAAATCCTAACACATTTAAATTTTTTTTTATTTTACTACTGAATTTTTAAATATCACCAACAAGAAAAATAAAATCATTACAAACTACTCTGTCTCTTTGTGGTATTTCAAGATAACTTCCCATCTCTACATGCTGATAGAATCTTCAAATGCTCTGACACACATTCTGTCCTTATTTTATACCTTATTTTATAGTTAGTTCAGTGGGAGATTAAAGTGCCAGTTGCTTAATCTTACCTGGAACCATCTAACCTACAACTGAACTACATATTTTATTTATATGAACATTTTATAGTAAGATATTAGAAACAATATCAATATTCATAGAAGGATTTTATTATAATTTCCAACTTTATTGAATTACAATAGCATTTAAATGACTATATTATCCATCCACAAAAAGAAGTTTCACCTTTAAATAATTTACATTACTTATACAGTCATTAAAATAAAATAAAATCCACATAGATAGGAGAAAATCTCTGAAAAGTAWTGTAAGTAGAACAAATTAACTATTAAAATTAACTATTTAAATTCACAAATCAAAAACAGCAAAAGAGGAATAGCTTTGAATCATAATAAAAAAACCAAAATTTCGAGCTCAAACTATCAGGCCAAAGAAAAATAATAACCTTGTCAATGAATATTATACTCTCCCAGATGGTTTTGTTGTTTTTTTTACAATTGTAGATTTTCAATGATCTTAAATCACTGACATAGCTCTATCTTAAAAACTTGAAAAAAAAATAAGAGCAAATGAAATCCAAAGAAGCAGAAGAAAGGAAATAATAAAGAACAGAGCATAAATAACTGAAATATAAATTAATAAATCAACAAGAGAAAATTCATTTAACCCCAACTAAATAAAATTCAATCAAAATCAATCAGAAAAGAAAAACTTACTTTAGTTTCTGAGATCAATAGAATCAATAAGTCTGTAGCAAGTTTGATTAGGAAAAAAGGGAACATAATTACCAATATCAGAAATTAATTGATAAAAATTAAGAAACTTGAATGGACATAAATGCCTCAAATTCCAGAACTTAAATATAAGTGGTAAATACACAAAAAACCACAAACTACCTAAGTTTACTCTAGAGAAAATTCATAACCTAGATTTTTCCTTTTATTTTATTTTATTTTTTAAAAATTGAATCAGAAAATTTTCACACAAGGGAAAATCCAGATGCAGATTTCTCTGATAAATGATATTAACCATTTAAGGAAGCAGACATTTCAACTGTACATGAATACTTCAAGAACTTTCAGGGAGAGCAAATAACTCATTTAACTCATTTTATAATTTAACTCATTTTATAATGCTAAAACCCCCCTGTTACCAAAAACCTGACAAAGATATCACATAATGGAAAACTGTATACAAATATCCCTCTTGAATAGATGCAAAATTCTAAACAAAACAAATCTCTTAGGAAGATAACATATCATGTCAAAGTAGGGATGGTCCAAGATTTTAACAATGTTATAACTTTTGATAATCAATGTAATCAATGATATTTTTAAAAATAAAACATATTTCAATAATTTAGAAGAAACATTGACAAAATACAACCTTATTTTCTCATTTAAAAAAAATCCAAAATTCTCAACAAACCAGGAATAAAAGAGAAATTTCTAAATATTATAAAAAAATCTATGATAAACTTACATCAGACTTGTGAATGACTGAATGATTTCCTTCTAAGATCAATAATGTCAAAACGGTATGCCCTTATCACTTCTATTCAATATTTTATTGTAAGTTTCAGATGCTACAATAAGGAAAAAGAAAAATGACACTGAAAGGAAGTAAAGCTGTCTGTAGAAAATTTAGCAAAGCCTCAGAACATCTACTATGGTATATATATTTAGTAAGAGTTTCAGGTGAAGTATTTTTACTTTAATGTGTTTCTATATAATAACAATGAGCAAAATAAAATTGAAATAAAAATAAGTTAATAGAGAATCAAGCAAGTGAGTAATAATATATACCTTAAAAAAATTTTTTTTAAAGAATCTCTACACTAAAAAATGGAAACTAAAATGTATTGCTAAGGGGAGACCTAAATAAATATTACAGCATTTCTAACCAGGTCTCTGGGTTTGAAATCTCATTATTCCAATGATGACAACTCTTTTCAAGTTTATCTTTACATTCAAAGCAATAAGGAATTATTCATCAGACTGTGTGTATGTGTATGTGTGTGTGTGTAAAAGTTGACATCCTGATCCTAAAATATTAATGGGAAAACAAAAGACCTAATATAATCACAACAAGGAAAAGATGAAAAATAAAGAGAAACAAAATCCAATATCAAGACTTATTATAGGCTCTATGATCCTCCCGTTTTGACAGACAGCCACATCCTCTATTCTCTTGCAGTGCTAGCCATGACCCTGAGACATGATGGTGAATTTCAGAGTGAGCAGATTTGGCCGTACTGGATGCCTGGTCACCAGGGCTGCTTTCAATGCTGATAGAGTCTTCAAATGCCCTGACACATATTCTGTCCTTATTTTATAAAGTGGATCTTGTTGCTATCAATGACCCCTTCATTGGCCTCAAATACATGGTCTACATGCTCCAGTATGATTTTACCCAGGGTAAATTCAATGGCACAGTCAATGCTGAGAATAGGAAGCTTGTCATCAATGGAAAATCCACCTCCATCTTCCAGAAGTAAGATCCCACCAATATCATATATTGATATTTGATGCTGGTGCTGAATATGTATGGAGTTCACTGGTGTCTTCATTAAACATGAAGAAAGCTGGAGCTCATCTGAGGAGTGGTGCCACAAAGGTCATCATCTCTGTCCCTTTTGCGATGCCCCCATGTTTGTGATGGGTGTGAGCCATGAGAAGTATGACAACTCCCCCAAGATTGTCAGCAATGCCTCCTATGCCACCAAATGCTTAGCTCCCCCGGGCCAAGGCCATCCATGATAACTTTGGCATTGTGGAAGGACTCATGACCACAATCAGTGCCGTCACTGCTACTCAGAATACTGTGGATGGTCCCTTTGGGAAACTGTGGCATGATGGATATGGGACTGCCTAGAAGAATATCATCCCTGCATCCACTGACTCTGCCAAGGCTGTGGGCAAGGTCATCCCTGAACCGAATGGGAAGCTCTCTGGCATGGCTTTCTATATGCCCAATCCCAACGTGTCATTTGTGAATCTGACCAAATATGATGACATCGAGAAGGTGGTGAATCAGTCATAGAGGGCATCTGGGGCTACATGGAGGACCAGGTCATCTCCTAAAACTTTAACAGTGATACTCACTCTCCCACCTTCGATGCTGGGACCAGCATTGCCCTCAACCACCACTTTGTCAAGCTCATTTCCTGGTATGAAAATGAATTTGGCTACAGCAACAGGGTGGTGGATCTTATGGTCCACATGGCCTCCAAGGAGCAAGAGCCTCTAGATCACCTGTCCCAGAAAGAACACAGAAGAAGAGAGAAGCCCTCAGCTGCCGAAGAGTCCCTGCCCCTAACTCAGTCCCTCAACACACTGAAAATCTCCCCTCTTCCCAATTTCCATCCCAGACCCCCTGAAGATGGGGAGGGGCTTAGGGAGCCCTACTGTCACATACCATCCATAAAGTTCACTGCACCCCTCCTCCAAAAAAGACATTATAAAAATGCTATAATATACAGAAATAGATCCGAGTATTTATGAAAATATTTTTTGGGTAACAATGAAAAGACAATTCAGTGAAAAAAGGCTTTACATCAAAGAGTATGAAAACAAATAAGATTATACACAAATTGAACTTGAATATGCACTTCATAGCATATACACAATAGGTCCTATACCCAAATGTATAACCTGAACTTGTGAAAACTCTAGAAGATATTTAAGTCAATTTTTGTTACCTGGTTTTAGGCAAAGCTGTGTAGGATATAAATAATCTATACAAAAATATATTGATAGACTGAACTGGATTAAAATCATGAAATTTACTTCTCAACAGAAGGTAAAAAGAATTTAAATAATGCATAGACAGGGAGAAAATATTTCAAACCAGTTATCTCATGAGTGACTTTATATAGAGAGAATATATAAAGATATAGAGAGCTTTCAAAATAATAGTAAGAAAAAAAGAGAAGCAAAATATTTGAACAGACATTTTCACTGAAAAAGATCCATATAACATTAAGAAAAGAAGCTTAGCATCATTAATCATAAGGAAGATGCAAGTTAAATCACAATGAAACACCACTAACTACTATATGGAGGAGTTAAGCATAACAATAATAAGAGTGACCACAACAAATGTTTCAAAAACAATGTAGGAATTGACATCCTGAAAAATTGTTATAGAGAATGTAAAATGGTATAGCCACTTTGGAAGAACAGTTTTCAGTTTCTAAATCAATAAATGCATACCTAATACATGGTCCAGGTATTCCACTCTGATGTGCTTATCCATGAGAAATAAAAGCATATAAGCCTATGCTGTCACAAAGACTGGTACACCACCCTTTATCTGGAAAAAAACCAATGTCCAGCACCAGATGAATGAATTTGGTGTACTCATACCATGGAATGTTACTGCAATAATAGTAGATATTATTATATGTAACAACATGGACAAAATTAAAGATAACTATGCTGGGTAAAATAAGCCCCATACAAAAGAGTAATTACTATATGATTTAATTTGTATGAAATTCTTGAAAATGAAAACAAATTCATAGCAACAGAAAGCATCCAGGGGTAGATTAACGAGGGGCATGAGTAAACATTTAAGGATGATGGATATATTCACCGAATTGACTGTAGTGATGGCATTGTGACTGTGTACATGTCAACACTTATCTAATTGTATATGTTTAATGTATACAATTTGTACACATTTAATTTGTCTGTTATGCCTCAATAAAGCTATTAAAATAAGATAGAAATGAAGAAGGAGTATAGGAGCTGAGCTTGATCAGTTTTTAAGTTGTTATTCTTATTTTTACATGGAATATTGAGAAATGGGTGGGGTGCATGGACAGAGACGTTATCCCATGAGTTCCTCCATAGGAAAGCATGGGCCCTGCCAATGGAGTTTCCCTTTCAGCAGTGGAGGCTGGAAGAGGAACAGCAGGAAACTTAGGCCTTGAGTGGATGAGGTTGTTTGGCATGATCCTTACCTACCCTGTAAGTCATTCCCACAAGAAATCAGTTACCACACTGGACATAACATCTGTAAGTGGAGTAGGAGGAAATGGGGAGCAGAAGAGAATTAGTTAGGCTGCCTTCTAGGAGCATGCCCATGATTCAGTCTCTTTGAGATTAAGGAAAATCTATCACCTATGAAATTAAATTTTTTAAAGGTCAAATTGCTTGCGTATTTTGCTAGGATATATATTCCTTTCTGAAAACAACCTCCCTGGCCTACTATGAACTTATTATTTTGCTATTTATGTCTGCTTTTAAGTTTTTATAAAGGTTCATTAATTTTGGAATTAATTGATTCTCCGATTAATCTTCACAAGAAAGATACACAGCAGAACAATAAAAGGGAGAGGACCCATGAGGAGACTTCAAATTAGCAAAGTATATACCTAGTTTTTGAATTTTTCCTATGATTAATTGCTAAGATTACTATTGTGTTAAGCCTAGTCTGGTAAGACTTAACATTGACTGTTACAAAGCTAGTTATGTGAGACAGAAGGTGATGAATACAAACTTACCCCAACTAAAGGAAAAAAAATTCTACTCCAGATTTTCTCAATAGGGAATGAAATAGAATGTGCAAATTTAACTCAAAAGAATATTTTTAAGTAAACATGTCCAGGCTTATCAAGGACCAATGATTCCTTATATTTTGGCATAGTTTGCTCAAGAAATAAGTGTGTGTGTGTGTGTGTGTGTGTGTGTGTGTGTGTTTGCACAAACTTCTTAAACTGGGCAACTGTTGGAGGAAATGGGAAAAGGGAAAATTATTGAATGTTAATTTTAAGAAACAGGGAAGTTAGTTTTAAGAAAAAGAAGGGGTCAAGAGGCCACCATGATCCTTAGTGGTTATGTCCACTAACTCTGGGGTAGGCTACATCTCTTTCTCATTACTTTGCTCAGAACATATTTTACATCCTTATTCCTTAAGCTGTAGATCAAGGGATTCAGCATAGGGATCACCGCGGTATAGAACACAGAGGCCACCTTCTCCTGGACCCTGCTGTGGCTGGATGTTGGCTTGAAATACATAAACATGATGGATCCGTAGAAGACCCCAACAGCTGTCAAATGAGAGCCACAGGTACTAAAAGCTTTGGACCTGCTCTCACTTGAGGGTATTCGAAGAATGTTGGTGAGTATAAAAGTGTAAGAGATGGCTATGGGCCCAGTTGTTGCCAGCACATTAAATCCACCTATAAGGGTCACCAGAAGCTCATTAAAGTAGGTCCTAGAGCAGGAAAGCTGTAGGAGGGGAATTATGTCACAGAAGTAATGGTGGATGACATTCTCCCCGTGGAAGGAAAGCCTGATCATGGAGGAAGTGTGGGCTACAGCTCCAAGAGCTGCCATGATATAGACCCCTGTTACCAGTATGCTGCATGCCTTTTGGGACATGGTGACACTGTAGATCAGTGGATTACAGATAGCTGCATATCTATCATATGCCATGGCTGCCAGCATATAGCCCTCAGCAATAGCAAACGTGCAATAGAAAAAGAGCTGTGTCATGCATCCAGAATAGGAGATAACATTTTGTTCCCATATAAAGTTTCCTAACAGTTTAGGGGTAATAACTGAGGAATAGACGAAATCTATGAATGACAAATTACCAAGAAAAAAGTACATGGGAGTTTGGAGCTTGGAATCAACAGTAATTAGGAGGATCATACCCAGGTTTCCCACTACAGTGATCCCATAGACTACTAGAAACAGGAGAAAAAGGGGCAGTTTGAGTTCTGGTTGGTCTGTTAATCCCTGGAGGACAAATTCAGTCATGGTGGAAAAATTGCATCTGATCATTTCCTCTAGGAAACAGGGTATAAACCTAAGGAAAAAAAGAAAAAGAAACCTTAGAAAGTAAGAAAGCTCTGTTCCCATGGTGGGAAGCTGTTTTATTACGAGTGTGACAAAAGAAAAGAAATCCTGATCATCAAATGAGAACAGTTTAATGGCTGTAACTAACAAAAGAAGAGGATTATATATTTTTTTTCATGTCAGATTTGAGTTTCTTTTAGTCAAGGAATATTATAAGGTGTATAGAAACAAAGAGCAAGTACTATATGATCTTAAAATGATTAGAAAGTATCTGAACAGTTCAAGGCTGCCCCATTTTTATCCTCAGAGACCACCCTAGTGTCTACTATGAATGGGTACTCCATAGTTACAGCTGGAGCTGGAAATCCATCTGACCTCTGCATGGCTAATGCCTGCTGGGATGTTCCATGCTGCTAACACCAAGGTTCAATCTAGTGCTCAGAAAGTAACTTCTGGGGCTGGGGTTGTGGTTTAGCAGTAGAGCTCTTACCTCCCATGTGCAAGGGCCTGGGTTGGATCCCCAGCACCACATAAAAATAAACAAATAAAATAAAGGTACTGTGTCCAACTACAAATAAAAAATAAATATTTTTTTAAAATTAAAGTAACTTCTGGGCTAGTAACAGCCTGTGTGTGCATTAGGTAATTGTTTACTGTGGAATAAACAAGAACTGGGGAGAAAATGCATGTTTTAGGGTCACAATTCAAGGTCACAGAGGGAAGCACAGTTACTTTGATGCTCCAAGTTAAGGTTTTCAAGTGATTCTGAAGTTCTGTTATTCAAATAAGAGAGTCTGTTGTCAGGCAATTTTGCTTCTAGAGATGCTTTGGGATATATTGTAGGCACATCTTAGGACTTTGATGAAATAATGGGAAAGAGAAGAGCCATCTTTCTGTGGTTCTATCCACTGCATGTTACAGGCAAGAGTAAATTTGTTTCCTCCAACTCCGGTTGTACTGGGTGAACTAATTTCCACATGTATTTGATCTAACTAGCTTATTGAACTACAAATTTGCAATTTTCCATAAGTAACCCTATTTTACAATGAAAACTTTAAGGAAATGTGGCTTTTCCTAAGTGTACACTTACCTGAATGCTGTAAGGAGTAGAATTGTTGCTCCAACTTGGTTTGTTTGTTCTCTTTCAGTGTGAAATGAATTCACACAGTTGGCTTTATGGAAAATATGCCCCATCCAGTGCCTTGCTGATCTTGTTGGAGTGTAATTAATGAACACTGAAAATCAAATGGACATTATTGAAAATGAAGAAAAAATAGAGCATCTTCTGGCCATCTCAATGCTTACCTCATGCTCCAGCTGTGTCACCAAGTCACTGTATGACTTTGGAAAAGTAACTTCACCTTTGCTGTTCTGTGAAAGAATGAATTTGGGATGAGGCTTTCCATAGTGTACTGAATCTCTGAAATTTAATGACACTGGGTAAGCAAATATAAGATTCCCTTTCACCCCTATAACACAAACAGCCTTTTCTAAGCAAGGGAATATTTTGACTCATTGTTTGTGGATGTTTGGTCTCCAAGGAAATGGATGACAAGAATATTCTCTGAGGACCACAAGATCCACGAAAGATGATGAAATTCTCCTGAGAACCAGAAACACGATAAAGTCTATTTGCTCTTAAATTGATGATGTGCACAGAATGTTGGCATTTCCAGTGAATGTAATTACATTTT